TAGGTAGGATGTGGCTGTCTTGATCTTCACTGTCTCATCATCTAGGTTGAGGTTGTCAAAGTATTGTTCCATTTGCCACAAGTAGTTCTCGACTTCCTTAGCATCTCAAACTCCATGGAACTTAGAAGGCTTTGGATAGTCAACCTTAGGGGTATGGGCTAGGTTGATCGTTGCCCCACCACTGGCAGCAGCCTTTTTACACAATGCCAACTCTTCACGCATACCCTCAAGACTAACTTGCAAAGATTGGATAGCATCCATTACCTTTTCCTCCAATTGAACAAATCGGGCATCGAGGTCCCCGACATCATCCTTCACAAGGCTAAGTTGCTCAAACATATGGTTCTCCAGCAAGTTTGCGCCGTTCTCGATCCTCTCGAGCTTAGCGCCCAGCCCTTCAACAGCTTCCTCCAAAGCAAGAATCTCCCCTCGAGCTTTGCTTTGATCACGCTTCTTCTTGCCATGGTTAGGATTAACATCCCTCCCATGTTCCTCGATGAAGTTGGACATGCTAGTGTCAACGTTTCCAGACATGCTCCCAAATGTGCACAACACGAACCCGAACCTGAACGTGGCTCTGATTCCAACTATCACGGACTTGTTCCATTAACAAGCTCACGTGCGGCCTTAGCTCATTTCCGCCCCTTGCAGTAGCTAAGTCAGCCTAGACAACGCCTTAGTGTTGTGTGTGCTAAGTGCTTGGCTAGAAGGAAATGTGGTAAAGGCAAGAACACTTGAGGAAAGCTTAAGACTTTATTGAATGCTTGGAAACTTCGATGTGTACAAATGAACCACCCTGACGGGTATTTATACTTTCCATTCTCCTCAATGGATGGTTGAGATCTATTTGATCTAACGGCTATGGTTTAATTCTAGAATATTCTGTACAACTCTATCATATTCTAGAGTATTCTACTATACTCTATACAAGTGTACATGTATCTACACGAGTCTAGAATATTCTCTTAGCCTCCAGGATTCCGCCCCTTCCTCTTGGAATGTTCTAGACTCTACCTTGTCACCTGGCCACGGTTATGTCGTGGCGTAATTATATGCCATGTTGCGGTGTATCAGCCTGCCATGCCGCGGTATTACTGAGAAAATTGGGAGACTCGTGACATCCTGCTTCCCTTTTGGTCTTGCAAAGTCGAGTCCATCGACTCGCCTCCACCTCGGTTTTTGCTTATACACTTTGACATCTATGTTTTCCATATGTCCAGTTTCTTCCTCATCCTCCAACCTCTTGCGCTTCTGTTCTAACTTCTTTGTGTCTCTCCAAGAATTAGTTGTTGTCACCACCGAAACATAATCAAATTTTGTTAAATTTGATTATATATGAATCTAACCCAAAATTCAAATGTGTTTAGTGAAACCAGTAAAAGAAGGTCGCATTCCTTCAATCTACGATACATAATCAAATTTTGGTAAAAAAGTAAATCTCCAATTTATCTCCAGGTTTCCATCCCGATGGTCTCTTTCTTGACCAATACAAATATATTTGTGATCTATTTCACATCATGAAAATGAATGAAGCTAATTCAATGGCTACATCCTTAGCTCCATGGGCTTCTTTGAGCTTGTTTGATAGTTCGAGCTCACGTGACATCACTCTTTATCGTCAGGTCATTGGATCACTTTAATTAGTATTTGAACCTCAGAAGACCAGATGCTTCCTTTGTCGTTAATAAACATGCTCAGTTTATGCACAAACCCACGGTTAATCACTGGAAGTCCCTCGAGCGTCGTTTGCGGTATCTTCAGGGGATTGCTACTCATGGCATTTTCCTTACTCGTTGTTCCTCTCTTCCTCTCCATGCTTATGCCGACGCCGACTGGGCTGGAAACCCATATGAGAGGTCTTCTACTAGTGCTTACGCAATTTTTCTTGGTGAGTCACACATTTTCATCAAACAACGTACCATTGCAAAATATTCCACACAATCAGAATCTCATGCATTATCCACCGATGCATCTGAAGTTCTTTAGATTGAGTCTCTCTTCCATGAATTACAACATCCACTCTCTTCTCTACATGCATGTTCTTCTATGTGACAACAAAGGTGCCACTACTTCCTCCGCAAATCCCACATGTCTTCCACTCCGGCATGAAACATGTTGCGATCAATTTGGAATTTGTTCGTTGATGGAGTATATGGGCCTGGACCCCATGGCCCACATACTCAGAAGAACATAAGGTACCACGATCACCTGGTGGGACCCTCGTCGGCCAGGTGACCTCCATCGGCCAGGAAGCAGTCTACTCAGAATACGGTCCAGGAGCCAGGAGAACCGGGTGACCTCGTCGGCCGGGTCCTCGTCGGCCGTGCCCTCGTCGGCCATGCCCTTATCGGCCACGAGCGGCCCTCAGAATAGGATCTTATACTTAATTATTTCTACATCTCTTGTACCCGGCCCAATAGTGGCCCTATTGTAAATGGGCCTCCCAAGCCCAAGACTTGGGAGCCCAGCCCTAATTTTCCCTATAAATACTACCTCTGGGAGTAGTTGTAGGGGTTCACAAAATCATTTATTGAAGCATTTACTTGCACTTCTCTCTATAGCTCTCACTTCTCTCTAGAATATGGTCTTCTTCATGTTCTTCATATTTCATCTCATGCTCATTTGATTGATGCCCTTACTAAACCGCTTCCATGACATCACTTTTCTCTTCTCAAAAACAAGCTCAAGATTTTTAGGAGTGACTGCATACCTGGCTTGTTGGGTCGTATAGAAGGAAAGCATTCCCGGGATATTCTTCAGTTATATCATTGTAATTAAGGAAAATATATTTGTAATTAGTAGGGTAACTATATTAATATCTTTCCTTATATAATAGCTTCTTATTGTATAAGTATCATCGCATATCAATGCAATATACACACAATTCAGTATAAACATAAGAGTGATTTATCTAAATAAGACTAAAATTTGTCAAAAATGCAAAAGTAGGACCATTAGTTTTCCGTTTAATTCGATACGACTAAAAATAAAATGGAATCGCAAAATTGCCCCTGATTTATGCGTTGCATCACTTTCTTCCCGGCAGCGATTAATTTGTGCGACGATGATGGGTGCGAAGAATGTAGCCGACGATAATAGCTCTGCTGCTGCATGCCCAGGTAAGCTCTTTCTCCTGCATCTCATGTGTTTTCTTCTTCCATGTTTTTTTTGTTTTTCTTCTTTCTTTGGATGTCTAAATTATTTCTTTTGGATGTCATCATAGTTGTTTTATTTAAACACTAATTTCAAAGTAAAGTTACTGTTGTCATCACAATCATCAAGATAACATATTTATTTTACATCTTTATTAAACATTTGAAGCAAAAACTTGACATTTTCAGAGTAATAATGACATTCTCGTGATAAACATGACATTTTTTATAAAGTAAAAGGAGAGACTGCCATGTTTATACATTTGCAAATGTCATCTTCATGACAAATTTACTTTACATCTTTATTGAATATTTGAAGCAAAACTTGACATTTTCAGAGTAATAATGACATTCTCTTGATAAACATGACATTTTTTATAAAGTAAAAGAATGAGAGACTGTCATGTTTTATACATTTGTAAATGTCATCTTCATGACAATCTTTCTTTACAACTTTACTGAACATTTGAAGCAAAACTTGACATTTTCAGAATAATAATGACATTCTCGTGATAAACATGACATTTTTTATAAAGTAAAAGAAGGAGAGACTGCAATGTTTTATACATTTGTAAATGTCATCTTCATGAAGAAGAAGAAGAAGAAGAAGAAGAAGAGGAAGAAGAGGAAGAAGAAGAAGAAGAAGATAAGTAGCAGGAAGAGTAATACCTGAAAGTCTGAAATTGAAGTTGACGTCACCATCATTTTAATTTGGAAGATAAAATCTTCTAAACGGAAGAGGGAAGATCGGGTGATGCAGAGGTGTTGCAAATTCAATCAGAAATGGGAGAAGAGATAGATCGGTGAAATTTACGATAAAGAAATCTGAGGTGGAGGTACAGAGAGATTAGAAGACGAGCAGCAAAAGTAATTGGGGATTTTGAACATCCCTGGAGAAGAAACGTACAAGGCGGCGATGCGGACCTGCTCAATGTTAAGGCGGCGATGAGGAATAAGAGAAGGATTGAGCGACAGAGGAAAACAAGGGCTTTTTGGACATTGCAGAAACTGTAAAAAGTCGGGAGAGAAGCGTATCAGTCCTATAATGAGAATAACACATGATAACTCCTATTTTGGCTTTTTATCTATCTTTTAGTCCTATTTAGGACAATTTTTTCTAAACATAATCCTAGGTACGTCCAGTCTCTTTTTTAAAATATAAAAAATTTCTTTACAAAAAGTCATTCATTTTAATTTATGCTTATACAGTCTTTTTAATTTTAGTTTGTAATTTCTTATTTTGAATTTATACAGTTGTGATTTCCCGATTTGAATTCCTGTTTTTTGTTATTGGTATATTTCTTGCGCTTAAAAGAATAAATTTCCTTAAAACACTTCTTTTCTTCTTCTCAATATTTTATTTTTAGTATCACTTTTTTAAAAAAAAATGTTTTTTAACTTTACATCGACAAAGAAGTAAAAGACATAGCAAGTCAACAAAATTTATGTGAAACCCAAAAAGCTAGGAATAAGATACACGTGTCTCTAATAAGTCGCTTGCCAATACATAAGCAAAAACTATAAATCAGAACCTTCAATTTAGAGAAACTCAATAACAGTGTCTTAAGAGAGTTTTGAAGAGTTTACTCAGTTTAGAGACACCTCCAAAATTCAACCTTCAAGCACTTTGATTTTATATAAATTTAAGGGTTGACATAATATATGCCTAACATTTGAATTGCCTTTTAGTACTCTTTTAAACACGCTATTTTGTCATGAAAAAATGACAAAGTGAATCATTCCCAACCCTCTAAAATCTTCATCCTAACAAAATCCAGGCATCCTCAAGAATGGAGAGAAACCAGCTTTAAACATCAAAGGATCATGCTTGGAACTAAGCGAGTGTAATTTGAGTGTAATTTTCTCACAAACACAATAATAATTCTTTATCATGAGTGTCATCAGTACATTGTAAGTTGAACCAAAGAATTTGCATCTAAGAGTGGCCAAACACACAAATCACTTTGCCTTCAAATGCATTCATTACATAGGCTTTGCCCAAAAGCTGCTGCTGTATTTGTTTACTATGAACAAAAGATACCAATCGACCAAAAGAATCAAAGCAAGATTTTGCCATTGAAGAATCTTATGCCAGCAAAAGAATCATACGAAAAAATATCAAAGGAGATGAAGATAGATATATCAAAGGACCTGCATATATTTTGCCTGCATATATATACATATGTATATATATGGATTATACATTTTCAGAACAAAAAGGCAAGAATGAAAAGCAAAAAGATGGCCAGAGCAATAAACCCAACCCAGCACAGCAAAGTCTTCTTCTTCTTCAACCTCTTCGCCCGATCCAATTCTTTCGACCCGTCTTTGACATACGAACCAGCATTGACCATATTGATCTCTATATTGTTCATTTGCTCCCCCTGAGTCTCCACCATCACCGCCATATCAAGAAACACCTGATGAAGCTCTGCAAGGCTTTTCTGGATCTCCTTCACCGCCTCATTCCGGACCTGGTTCTCCTTCACCATTTCAGCAGCAGCCTTTCCTTCAAAAACCAGTCTTTCCTGCTGGGTCCCACCGCCGGCCATCATCTTCTCCACCATCTCCTCGCTTGCCTCCTGCCCTGTAGCATCATAATAGCTCCTCTTCAGGCCTTCTTTGTGGTCTGCCACGATCTTACCCCTCAGGCACTGGAAATCATTCATCAAATCCCTCAGCTTCTGTCTCAGCCCGTTCGTCACTGAGATTCTGGTCCGTTCGATTGGTGTTTTGTTATTCGACTGGCTTGATTTGTCGAGAGATTCAAGTTTGGTTTTGATAATCTTCGCCTTTCTGAGAACGGTGACCATGTCCGAGTTAATCCTGTCTCTGAGACCGTGGAGAATTTTAGCACTGTGTGAAGACTTCGTCTGCTCGTTGAGATCTTGAAGATCCAGAAGGAGATTAGAGATATCATCCATGGCGGCCTTGATGGACCCCACTTCTTCGAAAAACTGTGACAAGTTCTTTTCATCCGCCGGGTCGAGTTGACCCATCTCGATATCCGGATTAGGCCCGGTTTCGAGATCCTTCATCGCCTGCTTCTTCAAATCCACGTAACTCATAAACGACTTCGTCATCAAATCGTTCATCTTTGCTCTGATTCTGCAAAACCCAACAAAAAGAATTCAAAATTCCTCCGTTTTAACTTACTATAACATGATATAAATATCAATCATCGGTAATTTTGAATTAAACGATTCTTAATCAACACAACGACTGCAGAAAGTAATCAAGAAAAGGGAGATGAGAGAAAAAGAACCTGGAAGAATCGTTCGTTTAAGATGTGATGATGCCTGATAGGATATGAGATCGGAGAGGATAGATAGAAACGAGGTCAGTGAAGGATCTAATGCCGTAGATGGAGAAGAGTTAAAGAGAAAGACAGAAACTAATCAGAGGTCGTCAATGGCGGTAGGGAGGGGTTCTCACCTATGGGTCCTACTTCTAGCAGTTTATTTTTCAAATTTCAAATATACGAAAGTCCCGTTGCGAAGATAGCCGTTTTATTGTTCCCAACGAATAAAGATACAGCAGTACAGCACTTCAATAGTTCAATACACCCATGGGTCGCTCGACTAAGATCCAGTTTTCTCTCTTGGAGACGGGATGAATTGGTCTCCAACATACTAGTATATCAATAATAATAAGACTCCTTTCGTCCTATTTTACTTAGTCAAACTTGATTTTTCAAGTCAATTACGTTAAACTTTGACCGATCATATGTTTATATAGAGAAAGTATTAATAATGTGAAAATGATATGAAAATGTTCTTTGTTAAAAACACTATTCAGGCCCGGTCTTGACATTTTATGGACTCGGGACAGTATAGATAGAGTAGGCCCTTAAGAACATGCGAATGTTTATTTTTCTTGAAAAAAACTATATTTAAAGTTAAAGAATTTTGTCATATATAAATGAATGTAACACAACAAAGAAATTAATAAATGAGACGATTAGAAAGATTATATTTAAGTACTCCCTCCGTCCCGGTCATTTCTTCCGGTTTTGACCGGTATCGCAAATTTAGGTAGTGAGAATAAAGTGAAAATGTATGGTTGTAGTTGTGTAAGAAAAAGGTGAATGAATGTGAACCACATATTTTTTCCAAAAGTGGAAGTTGGAAGAATTAATTGGGACGATCCAAAAAAGAAATTTGAAAGAAATGACAGGGACGGAGGGAGTATTTGATAAGTTACGCACATTTGAGAATACTATCCATATACCTAAATTGATCAAATGAAAAAGTAGTATCATTGTTACTTGCAATAAAAAAACGAGTTAGGCATAGACATGAATGTTATATGATATATGGAGTGATGTTTTTATATTTCAAATCACATT